GAGATTGTATGAATTTTCGGGAGACTCCTCGTAAAATTGTGAGAGTTGGAATGTCTGGGTCTGCCGGCCTGCTTCGGTATATTAATGATATTAATTAATGTTGATTAGTATTATAAATTTAATTGTCTGTATTAATTACATCTGTATAGGAGATATATTTGTTCTTTCTGTTTAACTTCTATTCATCTATCAATAAACCCCATGATGTTAGGCAACTTCCATCAACGTCTGGCAATATTTTGTCTGCATTCCTCCTAACGTTTTTCTGCACATCTATACCAGTTTGTTTCAAGTTAACTGTCATCCAGATATCATTCATGAGATCATTTTGAGGTCAAAATGCAACGAGTTGAGACATGCACTGTCTCAATTTGCATAAACTACTTCAAATTCAGACATGATTTTTGTGTGTGTTGGTGTTTTGTACTCAGGTGAATATAATGTTTGTGATGTTACTCTGAGTGTGCATCCACACCGGGCAAGCTGAAAAGTTTGCCTGACTATGGTGGGAATCATTGGTCCTGGGTTCGATTCCCACCGTGGTCAGGCAGAGTAACATCACAAACATCATACTTCAGACATGTTTAAACATTAAATATTGGTTTACATTTAGCGATAACTTCCTATTAAAATCTCAGGGTAGCCAGTTGTGATGAAGTGTTGATATGTCTGTGCTATCAGATATGCATCACAGCATCAAAAAAAGTACAAATTAGATACACCACGATTAAATTAATTAGATTAACCACCTGGATTGCTATACAAGCTCAAGCTGTAATTAACCTAGACTTTAGGATAGTGCGAATGCAATGTACAGACTTATACATCGAAGTATTAACCCATTAAGCTGCAGAGCTTCCCCATTGACGAGTAAATGATCTGGTGTTAGACAAGAAAAAAATAAGTAGGGCACACTCAGGGAGCGTTGCAATTCAGTGGGTTAACTAGAGACATTGTCAGATTTTTTGGTTAACCCATTAAGCTGCAGAGCTTCCCCATTGACGAGTAAAATCGTCTGGCGTTAGGCAAGTACATTTTTCTAGTATAAAGGTATTTTAATTAACATACTTTCTGCATAAATTACGGAACCACTGAGTATTTTTAATAAAATATAAAACAACGGTAACTCCGTTGTTTTATATATTTTCTACATAAATATTCTGCTGGAGTGCTAGCTGGTATATTCTGCAAAACGTTTTCTCCGTTTTCAAAGCGTGTATACGTCAAAGCGTTTATAAATCGTTGTCAAAATATGTATCGACATGCAGCAAGTTGAGTTCAAATATATAAAAACAAACGACATTCTTGTTTCGTACTGTAATCAGTATGAACTATGAAACACGACAAGCCGTACAAAATATAACAAGAGATACGATATAAGAATAATAAAACTATGTATATATGACCACATACTAAAGCTTTTCACAAGCAAATACATGAACATTTTAACGATAAACTTTCGCCCAACGCAGTCCTGCTACTTGAAACGGGAACTGATTTCGAAGCTTGCATTTCACACAAATCGGCGCAACATTTTACACAAAAAAGCAATAAAATAGACAACCTACCTCTGTTGCTATCTTTCGCTGTGGTATTGGATTCATTTTGAAGGTTTTTACAGCAAAAATTTGACAATTTTCGACAAAATCCTTCACCTGGTCGCACGTGGAAAATTGATGGAATTTTAAATTGGGACATTTTGCGATTTTGGGTGTGACGTTTCGGACACGTGACTATAGTGACGTCATAGTCACTAAGGGTGGGTTAATTAATTAACACATTCCACTGAAAAACAAATGTTAACCCAGTATATATAGTAGCTAAAAAGAACATAATGAAATTAGTAAAATTGCAAAATTTGGTAGCTTGCAAATTTTGTATGTTTGTACAAATGAGCAACATTAAATCCCAAAGGTGGAAAATGTGAAATCAAACGACCACTTTAAATCAGATGCATTTGGTCATTTTTTATTGCAATTATTCCATAAAGGTGCCATTTGACAGCTATTAAAATGCCAGATCTTTATAAATACTAAAAAGAAAACTATTGACATAGTTGATTAACACGTGATAACATGTTAAATACAAACTTGTGGTTAACAACTGGACTCAAGGAGAGGGCTACAAGTTTATTAGTACTTTTGCACTATTACGTACTACCCTCTTGAAATAAAGACTCTAACTAACTCTGTAGCCCAGTTGGTTAGAGCGCTGCACCGGAATCGCAAGGTCGATTCTTGCTAGAATCTCTACTGTTGCACTTTCCGCAAGTGCTCCCGTTTGGGTCTGAAAATTGCATATAAATCTACCAAAACGTCAATCGGCTAGGATGCCCAAAATCTCGATAATTGCCCACAACCAACCCTACCCTAACCCTATAATGCGCGAAACACGAGGGTATAAACCAAATTCGACTCTCTTGAACTTTGAGATGGTTCAAATCTTGATATTTTTGCTCGTTTGACAGTAATATCCAGTCAACTCTCATACAACGCCGGTTCTCGTTTGAATTCCAGCTTTTAGTTTATGCCTGCAGGGGATGATGGGAAGTAAGGTATCATAGTGCTGATTATGCTGAAAAATTTCAATAAAAACTACCGAAACAACCGAAATATTTCAATATTTACAAGTATAAGCTATCACTCCGTGTTTACACGGCCACCATTTCTAATTTTTCAGCATAATCAGCAATGTGATACCTTACTTCCCATCGTCCCCTGCACGCATAAACTAAAAGCTGGAATTGCCTATTCTCATCGGAGGGTAGGCTTGGCTTGCAAGGTTGCTAAGACAGGATTTGTGCTCTTCCATGCCCATTTCAAATTAACGTTCGCTATGCAGTTTACCAGCCATCCTGTTTAGCCATGTTAATCATTAACTAAAACTAAACAGAAGAGTCTATTATATATTAAATTAATTAAAATACAATGTTTTTTTCTCTTATAACAAAACAAAACTAGGCCTAACTCAACAATATTC